ATTACGATCACATCAGAGTTAATGGAAAAATCTTTTCTTGCATTGTCTTTTCTTCCAGATAAGCAGAGGGTGAGATGTTAACTCTTTGCTGGGATTTTGGAAGCAGAAGCTGGGAGGCAGAGTGAAACCAAGGATGCTCCTACATAAGGTAAGATCCAGAGGGAAGTTGTCATCCTCCAAGATGGTCTAATAGGAAGTTAGTCCACAGTAGACAAGAGTTGAGAGACCAGATATGTGGCAGTTTCTCAGAAATAAGAAGACCCAGGATAGAACAAGTTAGTGGGCACTTATGTATAGCCACAGAGATTTGCTGGAAGCTTATGGCCTCATCTGCGCAGGTGGGAGGGAGTCTTAGACATTTTGGAGCCGGAGTTTCTAAGAGCTCTTTGGTCATGGAAAAAAATACAAACCCCTCTTTGAGAACACACACAAGAACTTACCAAAACTTACGTTGAAGAAAACACGGGCATATCGTATACCATGGTCTTCTTGCATATATTATTCTCCTCTACTCTAGGGAAAAAAAAAAAGATTGACTTATAATTGTGTGTTTCTGCTCTCAACAGTCGATAGACTCCTTGAAAGCAGGTATCTTGTGTTTTGTATATGAATTCAAGCATATAGCCCAGTGCCAGGTACATAATATGGTCCTTTCCTCATCCCCAAGTCACCATCCCTCTATACTCTATCCCAAATCCCTGCTCCCCTTACCACCCTCCTCCTTATTTTCATAGCATTTTGCCTATTTATTTTGTCTCTTTCCCCATCATGAATCCATAGAGTCATTGACCTTGCCAAATAGTAGACTCTCTCTAAATATTTGTTTAAAAATGAGTAAATGAATGCTCATGATAAATATTTATTGAAGGAATTGTTGTACTATGGCACCAATGTGTCTTTCTAAAATAGTTTCATAAAGATCATCAAGTATGTGTTTTGTGGTCTCTGGGGATGGTTACACAACATTGTACACCATCTCTGTTGAGTAGCTTCTTTTTCCCAATGCTATAAGCACCATGCTTTTTCCTTCTTATGAGAGCTGGATTGAAACCAAAAAGAAGCGACTAGGACAGTTCTCATATTGGAGTTGGTGGGCAAAGAGAGACTTGAGCAATAATCACCATCATATTTCAAGCTTCTAATTATTTTCACTAGAATCCATCATTTTATAATGTGGTTTTCAAAGTAACTACTGGGAGAAGGAGAAACAGAGAGAGAGAGAGAGAAGGAGAGAAAGAGACAGAGGATAGGGAATGTGGCCGTCATTATGAAAATGTCTGTTGCGATGCTTGACAGTGTGATACGGCAGGTTATTTCTGACCCATCCAATACCCACAAAGCAAACTATCTGCCCAGTTGTTGCACCATTTCTCTCATTCCATCCTCTTAGTGCCATCTCTCCATCTACACTCATTAGTTGTAACTGGACAATACAGACATGCACAAACGCACACTCCTTATATGGTTTCCTTGGTCTTCAACAAGTGGGAAGGAAAAATGGGAATTCCTGGGATTTTTCAGGAATGCACGAAATTAAGCCATGTACAAAGTATTCTCACTATTCTTTTCCTCTTTAGTCATTACTATAGACATCTAAAATTTGTTTAATAATTATAAATACTAGATGTATTAATACCTATCAAGTACTGTAGACTGCAGCAAATACCCAAACACTGGAAAATACCTGTCAACATTACTGGGTGGTATCCGAATAAAGAAACATTCGGATCTCCCGTTAACATTAACAGCACTGTGCAGAATCACATGTCAAAACCACCAATCTAAGGACTTACTTGCTTCCAAAATGTGTTATTTTTTTGGAACATCACTCATAGGATTTGTATAAAGTTTCCTAGGCATATACACTTATGAATATTTATTTTATTTGCAAAGATGCCTCACTGTTAGCAGCAGACAGGGCCGTGAACTCACACATGGCAACAGCTACCAGCAAGACTGACTGATCTGATCATGACTGTATCTTGCCCAGTGCTTCTTGTCCTCATTCCCAAAATGTAAACTTAACCTTTGACTCTGCATGTCATGTTTCCTGCTCTTGCTGTCCTCTTGACATGAGTGGATTCCTCTGAACCAGTAGCCTCTCTGTGTTGCTTATTATGCTTTAATTCTTGCAGGAGAGTTATGATACCTTTTCCAGTTTTCCTAATTTCCCATTTAACTTTTCTCAGAATTTGGGTTTAAAAATAAATATTTGTTTTTTGAGAAATGCTGGGAAGGAATTCCTACATGGAAACATTACTCTCACCACTGTGGCTAACCCTTCCTTTCATGCACTGGTTGAACCATAAGAAAGGAGTTGGAGAAATCCAGTGGGACAACATAGCAGTGATAAAGAGTTTAAGAAGACATAAAATGATGTTTCTAGCAAAGTTACTTGCAAGCAGTGTCATTTCGCGGAATGGAAGTGATTCCCATTTTGTATTGCATGTAGTGCAGTGTTTAATTAAAAAAAAAAGAAAAAGGTGGAGCTTCCATTCAGCTAAAATCTATCCAGGAAGGGAACCAGGGGAGCCCAGTAATTCACTGCTCTAGAGCCTTCTTCCTCATAGAGTAACAGTTCACCTTCTTTTTGGGTTCCAAGTTAATTTTCTATATGATTTGTGACATTAAATAAAAATGAAAGGAGGCCTGGAAACACAGATGGGACCTTTCCCTCTATTTGCATTCTGGATAATGCCTTGCACAGTGTGTACATGTAATTGATTCATTTGGTCCTGATGTGACTTGGCCTGCATAGGTTGATAAGCAACCTGCCAACCAGAGAGTTTTGTTCCTTTCCTCCAGCATTCAGTTGGAAGCAAAGACATTTCTAATACATTGTTAAACCCATGACTGTTTCCAGAATAATTGGCCCTTTGTAGTCCTTCTCCTTGTCCCCATGTGAAATCAGTGTAAAAAAATAAAAGCATCAGGGGGCCTGGGTGGCTCAGTCAGTTAAGTGTCTGACTTTGGCTCAGGTCATGATCTCAGGGTCCTGGGATCCAGCCCCAAGTTGGGCTCCATGCTCAGTGGGGAGTCAGCTTCTCCCGCTCCCTCTGCCCCTCTCCCTGCTCATGTTCCTCTATGTCTCTCTCTCAAATAAATAAATAAAATCTTAAAAAAATTAAAGGCATCTAAAGCAGTAGTTTTGAAGAGAAGAAGTAACTAAAACATTAAGTGCTCGCCTAGGAAAAATATGAAAGGTGGAGGATCGTGTTCTGATGGGAATTTACAGGCCAAATAAATCTATGAGCCTCAGATTCCTTTCAGAAATTATAATTTTTCTGCTTATGAGTGTAACACAGCCTCATTTTACAAAACATGGAAAAATGAATAAATTAATAAGGAAGAAACATTATCCATAATTCTACAGATCACAAATGAGAAGCATGGACTTTCTGCTTCTCCTCTATTCATTACTATTCATTATTCTGCACATGTATTTTTACAGAATTGGGCTCCTGTTGTAAATGCAGGTTTTTACTGAGCTCTTATCACTTACCGTTATAATGATAAACAGTGCCCCTTATTATTTTTTTTTTTCTAAGATTTTATTTATTTATTAGAGAGAGACACAGCCAGAGAGGGAACACAAGCAGGGGGAGTGGGAGAGGGAGAAGCAGGCTTCCCGCTGAATAGGGAGCCCGATGCGGGGCTCGATCCCAGGATTCTGGGATCATGACCTGAGCCGAAGGCAGACGCTTAACGACTGGGCCACCCAGGCGCCCCAACAGTGCCCCTTATTATTAAATATTAATTTAAATATGATTTTAAGTATGGTGTATTCATGTGTCCAACATTGGAAGTGAGATTTTAATACCTTTTCATTTTATAAATATAAGGAACAGCCATATAGTTTCAGTTTCATTAGACTTAATTTTTTGAGGTTATGATTTTAGAACAAGAATTATTGAATCAATGAAAAGAAACGTTTTTAGGCCTTTGGTAGACTCAGCCCTATGGCATTTAGAAAGGTTATACCAATTCCTTAGATTGGTTTTAGTGTCCACTGGCGGACACACTCACTCTTCTAGGGCTGCGAACTAAAGTCAGCTTTATGGGCTGGATCCAGACCCTTGCCGGACAGGTGGTGTCCTCCCCGCGCTGTTCTGGAACAGGTCATTTCTGGTTAAGCCCTGTCCTCGGAGCCTTTTTACCTCATTGTTCCGCAGGGTGTAAGTGAGATGGTTGGGCAGCGTGACGTCAGCTGTGCGAAGCACAGAGGTTCTACAGAGAGTTTGTCTGTGGTCAGGTCAGGGCACAGGTCCAGGAGGATGGAACGGCCACCCACCAGTGGCGCCACCTGCTGAGTGGACCTGTGAATAGCAGCCGTTAAGAAGGCACGGAAAGAGGTGAGGAAGGAGAGCAAAGCTGCCGGAAAGCCCACAGCGCGGATGGTTTATACAGACAGTCGTGGCATCAAGCAGATGCAGCTTCCATCCTTCAGCATGGCTGGCGCACTGTACGTGCTGAGTCAATGAATGCCAAGTCCTGACCGCTACCTGGCATGGAGGAATGAAAGACAATGAAGGCAACCAGTTGGGATGTATGGAATGAAGGAAATGGATGCATTAAATAAGCTCCCGTTTGCCATACACTAGTATCTAAAACAATAATAAAATATATTTCTCTTAGATCGACGTCTCTATGATAGATCTTAGTGTCATTGCCCGGTCAGGAGGTAGGGCGTCTGAAGGTATGAGGCTGTATTCACAGCACGTACGAGGGGGTCCTGACGGAGCAATTGCCCTGACGGAGCTGTGAACCTTTAAAGTAGGGCCAGCAGACTCGAGCTCCCGCATTGAGAGTTTTGTCCAAATTTTCCAATCTTATCCGAAGCACTTAAAGGAAATGAGTGCAGACTGGGGACACGGGGGCAAATATAGCAAAAGAATTACCAACTGCAAAGTGTGGGGAAGTAAGTATTATAATTCCGTGTTCGTGGTTCAGAGTTCATCGTCATGGCAGCTGACAGACACCCACCCCAGGCCCCTTAAGCCTCAATTGGCGTCAGAGGCTGCTTTACCGAGGACCGCATTCCTCAGGGCACCTTTGACATCCTGGTTCCTAAGGGTGTAAATCAGCGGGTTGAGGAGGGGGGTGACGAAGGTGTAGACCAGGGCGATTTGGCGGTCCTCGTCCTCTGAGGTGCTGGAGCGGGGACGCAGGTAGACCAGGCTGCAACAGCCATACTGCAGCAGGACCACGGTGAGGTGCGACGAGCAGGTGGAGAAGGCCCGGCGGCGGCCGGCGGCCGAGCGGATGCGCAGGATGGCCGAG